AAGATTCTGGAAAAGAGGTGGATGTAGCGGCTATTGTTATACTTTCCCAGAACCTATCTCCCTTCCCTTCTCCTACCCCTTGTCAAATCAGTAGGCCAATTACAGTGGTCCCTTCTCTTGGACATAAGGATTTGTCCAGGGGTGAGCATGTGTCTCAAGCAAGGCACATGCTCAGAGTCCTTCTACTGAAACTGGTGGAAAACATGTCTCTTTTGTCTCCATTTTGAGGTTAAAAGGATGTAAGGTGAGGAGTGTCTATTGTCAGAGTTCCAGCCTCCTGGGGACAATAGCCTCAGTTAAAGGAGCCATCTTTCAGGGGGAAGACGGAGAGAGGAGAAGGATAAGAGGTAGAGGAGGAGGACAATGGGGGGAGAAAGAGGGAGAAGCAGAGGAGATAGATTAAAAAAAAAAAACAAACTGAACTCTAACAGCATGTGAGGCTCTGGTGGGTCCAGGTCAGTAGCAATCTGCCTTTTCTGTTTGATTTTATGAAAAAATTAACATCCTTCTTAAGCTTAGGCTATAGTTTGGGTTAAATTTTTATCCTTGAGACTAAAGAGTCCTAAGTTGGAAAAAAAAGGGGGTTACCTCAGTCCTTCTCAAACCTTCCTACGCATAGGGATCCTCTAGGGTCTGTCACAATGCAGATTCTAACTCTGTAGGTCTGGCTGGGTCTGAGATTCTGCCACCCCAAACTGGCTTGCCTGTAAGCGACTACCTGGTACCTGACAGAACTGCATCAGAAAGCCTTTTCAGAGCCACCTGCCCTCTCACTTTCCTCTCTCTCCTTTGGCACCTGTGGGCTCTTTTCTTTCTTGGATCACCTCCCATGCCCAGCACTCCTCCTCTGTGCCTGGTCACCCAGCTCGGCGCCAGTCTCATATGACACACACGTTCCATCACTCAGCCCAAACCATAAACAGGCACACCTCTGCTAGCTGGGCTCATTTCCCTGCGAAGGCAGTTTCATGAGCACATCTGAGTATCCTTTGTGGTCTCACTTCCACCTCAAGGGACTTATTAAAGTACTCCTTCCAAGCATAAGCAGAACTCTCCTGGAAAGGAGCCCTGAGAAATACAGTATCTACCACCTCATGACATCATCATTGCCCATAAGAAGATGGGTCAGAACAGGCTTATGGGAACAGTTGTGGAGACCCCTAAAAATGAAGTTTTCTGATGGCCGTTTTTTTGTGTTGTTAACTATTTCATTCAAAACCAAAAATAATTACAGATGGTGTGCTTGCTCTTTGTCAAGTGCTTGGGTAAGTGGGCTCTCTGAAATACTTGGGACACATTCAGGGAAGCAAGTCCTTGTTTTGCCTCCCAGCTTCTAGTACTGCTTCCTGAGAACACTCAATGTCTTTTCCCAAGTTTTCCAGCTTCCTAGCTAAGATGATACTTATAGAAGTCCTGGCAAAAGTGGTTCTGGAAATCTTAGCAGCAAGTTGAGGATAAAGGAATGAAAAACATTTTTTTTTTTTTTTTGAGAGAGTGTGAGTGCACAAGTTAGGGAGGAGCAGAGGAGAGAATTCTAAGCAGGTGCCATGCTTGGTGTGGAGCCTGACTCAGGGTTCAGTCTCATGACTGTGAGATCACAACCTGAACTGAAATCAAGAGTCAATTGCTCCACCCACTGAGCCACGCAGACACCCTGAAAATCTCTTTTTAATGCATGTGTCAAAGCTATGTATGACTTCCCCACAGGACCACGGTATTTCCTAAGCCCATGACAAGAGGGTCCTGGGCCTCCTGGGAAATCCTGGGTCTTTCATCTTCTACACCTAGCATCATTTCTATCCATGTCCGCCAACCTTCCCCCTGGTCAACTCTAATCCCTCTCTTCACCTAAATGGGAGTGTTTGCTCCTTTAGCAATACTGGTGTGGGGGGAAGCTTTATGGTAATATTCACCTTGTTCCCCAGTCTGAACTGAAGTTGAAGTCAAAGAAACTGCCAAGCAAGAGAATTTCCCCAAGAAAGAACAAATCCCCACTGTGAGGACCTCAGGGTGGTAGCTAACAGGATGTTATCTAGTGTCAAGACCCAGGTGGTTTCCTTCTGTCTTTGTTTTTGATCAGTGCCCTTCCTCCTCCTCCTCACTTGGCTTCAGTAGCTCTGCCCACTTGTTATTTCCCTCGCCTGTCCATTTACCCACACGTGTGTGTGCTTGTGGTGTTAATGATCTCATCTGAAACATGTTCGTGGCATTTTGAACATATTAGGAGACAAAAGCATTAACACATTCAAGAAATAATTTGATGCAGCTTTATAATTTTCCAAGTTCCTAAGTCACCTTTTAAGTTTTCTTCCTGGTCTCTTTCAAACTTCCATTTTTCCTTCATTGCTTCTTCAACATCTTCTCTTGTTACAACTGGTAATTCCTCCAACTTCTCTTCACTCAGCTCCTTCAGTAGGTTCCGTATGTGCCAAGTCTGTTCATCCTTCAAGCGTCTGTTCTGTCATGACAATCAACAGTAGGTAACAGCATCTGCTCAAGTATTTACATTGATTTGCCTCAAAACAGAGTCACACTGAGGCTTGCAAAATGAGAAAAAAACATTTAATGAAGTAAGTTTATACAATATCTCTAAAAGCTTATGGAATATGGAAGACTCAAAATAAAATTAAACCCATCAACATAGTAACTATTGGATAGAAAGTTACATTTTAAAAAATTGTGTTATTAATTTCCTAGTCTATCACTCTATTATAGGATCAGTGAACATTAAAGTTAGACCTTGGAGGCCAAATTCTTCAATCTCCCACTAATACCATTCTTCTCCAGCGATTGTCATTCATTTAGTCATTATTTATGGAGCATCTACCATGTGCCAGGAGGTCTTCTAGACACTAGGAGTACATCAGTGAACACTATACACAAAATACAGTGGCACCTTCTCCTGGCCACTGGATTTGTCCAGGTTGAGCATGTTGTCTCAAGCAAGCATATGCTCAGAGTCCTTCCCTGGAAATACTTTCACTGAAACTGATGGAAACATGTTTTTTGGTCTCCATTTTGAGGTTAAAAGATGTAAGGCAAGGTAGGTGTCCATGGTCAGAGTTCCGGCTTCACAGGATCAACAGACTCAGAAAAAGGACGCTTTGGTTGCAAAGGTAATAATTTAACTGCAACTAGCCTAAGCATAAAGAGGATTTTAATTTTTTCATATGACCAAACAGCCAAGGCAGGATGCCACATCTGGACCAGAGCCTTACATGCTGTCAGATCTCAGCTTTAAAAACTTTTTATAAATCTGCTCTCCCCCTCCTCTCTCAAACTCTCTCCTTCTCTGCTCTCCTATTCCCCCGCCTTATCCCTCTTTTCTCTCTTCCTCTTGAAAGTTGACTCCTTTGTAAAATGGTACAGCTACTCTGCTAAAAAGGATGCCAATTTCTTATAAAACTAAACATTTGCCTATCATACAACTCAGCAACTAGGCTCTTAGGCATTTATCTCAGAGAAATGAAAGCTTATATTCACATTAATACAATGCTTACAAAACTGTATTTATCATAGCCAAATACTGGAAACAACTCACATGTCTTTCAAAAGGTAAATGGTTGAATAAATTGTGATATATTCATATCATGAAATAAAAATGAATAAAAGGAACCAACTAATTATACATGCAGCAAACTGAATCTCTAAAGAATTCTGCTGAATGAAAAGAGCCAATCTCCAAAGATTACTTACTATATGATTCCATTTATATAACATTCTTAAAATAACAAAATTATAAATATTGAGAACAGGTTAATGGTTGCCAGGAGCTAATGAAGGGGCAGAATTGGGAATGAGTGAGTAGCTATGTTAGGATAATATGAGAGACACCTGTGTTAATGGAAATGTCCTATGCCTTGACTGTATCAATGTCAATATTGTTAATGTTAATATCCTACTTGTGATATTGTACTATAGTTCTGTAATATGTTATAGGAAACCAGGTATGGGTATACAGGATCTCTCTGTATTATTTTTTTATAACTGCATGCTAATCTGTAATTATTTCAAAAAAGTTTAATTTAAAAAATGAAGATCAATCAATATTAGCAACTGATAAACAATTTATTGCTCTTTAATCAGTTCTCAAATAACTCCATTTTCTTAAATGAAATTGATTCATGTTTTGCTTTTCTTATAAATAAATTGAATTACTTTGGCTCGACATGAGTTATCTGCAAATGAAATATTTGTAGAAACTTGAATAATAGCAATGGAAATATCCCTTGCCAAACTATTGCACTCCTAATACTTTTTCTAAATATGGACTTTTCCACTTGTTTTTGTAGAAATGGAAAATTCCTTTATCAAGTATAGTCCGAATACTAAATAAATCTTTATCTGATTTTATTTATGTTAGGTAATTATAGTAAGGCAATAATTGCCACAAAATCAATTCCAGCTGAAAAATAGGCAAAAAATACCCAAAGACAGTGATCATTTAAAAACCACTACATATAATTCATAAAAGAATAGTGTGTAATGAATCAACAAATTTTCCTTTTACTTTCCATACTTAGCACAATACTTATCAAAGTGAATCCAGTCCTCTTAGATCAAATTTTTAACACAATGACTATCCTTTTAAAACATATGATATTTTCATTTACAAATTAAAATAGTATCATATGTCCTAAAGCTGTATTCAAAAATTACATAAACATGACTAAATCATATTTGGCATTATATATAAATTTAATAGCATCTGTTAAACTCCCCGAACCCCATAGTGAATTACAAGTGGATGGGACATGTGTCTGATAACATGTTACAAAATTTACTATATCTGAAAAATTATTTTGAGTGATATATGAAATACAATTTAGTTAGCTATATTCACCAACGTGTTTAAAAAAAGACATTTATCCTACAAAGCAAACCATTATCACACCATAAAAATAGAATAAAGGAGATTAAATAAATAAACTACAAAGAAAGAACTGATTTTGTTTTGTTATAAGGCCATCTCATGGGCTCTGACTTTTTAACTTTTTAAGATTTGCAAGAACAAGAAGTTGCCAGGATAGTACACAGAGCTTCGCCTTACTACACCCTGCTTTCCCCAATGATGACATCTTATATAACCACAGCACCTGAAAATGGAGAAGTTGACATTTGTACAATGGTATTAAGTAAATTAGAGAATTTAATTTGGATTTCACCAGTTTTTACATATGCTCATTTTAGTTGTTTTTAGTGGATAAGTATTAAGAAAATTTGCCACATATACATATGAGAATTATCACCAGACAGATGGCATTTGAAGCCATAGTGTTAAGTAAGGCCTTTAGATTTAAAGAGAAGAGTGGAGATCAGAACCCTGGAAAATACCTAATTAAGGGATGGTTCCGGGAAAAGAGCAATGAACGAAAAACAAGAAATAGTTGGAGAATATGGGGGAATATTAAAGGATGTGCTGGCAGCCAAAGGAAGAGAGAGTTTCAAGATGACAGGGCTGATGATGAAGGCACGAGAAATAAATTAAAGACTAAAAAGAGGCCATTGGACCCGACTAATTGGTCATTAATAACTTCTGCCCTAGCAGGTGTGGTGGAATAGCACGAGTGAAAGGATGAAATGGAGGTAAGGAAGTGGACACAGTGAACTATGAAATGTCTAATGACATGAGTGGAGCATACAGAGAGAAAGAAAGATAATCAATGAACTGACTGTCCAAACAAAATTCACACAAAGGAGGACATGATGGGGAGGAAGGATTTCTGAGTTTGACCTAATGGAAGAGAAAAAGTAGGTCTTGTTAATGAGTCATATTTAATTTAGCAAGTAAATATCTGTGACCTCAAAAATGTTTCCTTCACTGGTGTTAGTGTGAATCAACTCAACAAATATTTATCGAACACCGACTCATGCTGGGCCCTTCCGGAGAAACAAAGGTAAGTAAGATTTGATTGCTGCTCCCTAAAGAGCTTTCAATTTAATAATGGAGATACATTTGTATGGAGCATTCCAGCTGAGCTTGGGGGAACAAAAAGGAGCTGGCCAAGAGAAGAGCATTCTGGAGGATGAAACAGCCTGAAGAAAGGTACAATAACGAGCAAGACTGGGTTTTCCAAGATTTAAAAGAAGCAGTGGTGAGCAAAGGGTGGAACAACTGGAGACAAGGTTGGAGAGGTGAGCAGAGGTCAGATCTTGTAGGGCCTCAAAGACTTTAGTAAGGAGCATGGATTTAATTTTCTGTACCATAGAAAGCCACTGTAGGGTTTTAAGCATTGAAAGGTTTACGGTATTCAAAGGGTTGCACTGTGGAAAATGTACTGAATAGAAGAAGGATGGGTAAGAGTTGGTGGCAGCCTCAACTGTGGCAGTAGCAGCATAAATGGAAAGAAATAGATACATAGCTGGAACTAGTCTCCCTTTCCATGTTCGTCACTGCTGGGTCCACATGACCCCAGAAGAAGACATAGGCCTATCCCATAGTCATGAAAATAAGAATTTGTTTCTGGCTTCAAATGAGGGGCTATGGGAAAGTGATCCCTCAGTCCTGATCTGTTGTCATTTCCACAACCAAATGGAAGTCCCAGTGCTGACCACCGGGTGGTGTGCATTGGTCCTTGACGGCAGTTCACTCATCTAATGTGCTGTGGAGCTCATCATGTGGAACCTGCATCCAAGCACCTAGACCAAATGTCCCCTTTCCATTTTCACCCACAGACCTGAGTTTCTGATCAACAGACTTTAGTAACTGATCGTTGAGAATCATGACAATGTCAGGGTCACAGTTATATCACCACCATGTCTAGTCCCCAAAATATTGCTGAATGAATGACCAAATTAGCCCTATTTGGAAGACAGGAATCCCATGTTATAGGAGGGAAACTGGGGTTCACATCAGTTTTGGCCAAAATGCTACCAGCCTTAAGTTGTACAGTCAGGATGCAATCTCAGGTCTCTGACCCCAGACTCCACTAAAACGTGTAGATATAGTCATTTTAGACAAAAGCCAAATAAAACAGTTAACTGTGGAAGCTTTAGAGTCCATACAAATGTTTTAGTAGAGAATAGTCTCAGCGTTTCCTTCTCCCCTTAAGGGAAAAATTGTGTTAATTATCACTTAGTCATATACAGCATGACTTTGATATTCATTTCAATCTGATTTTATAAATACAACATATCATCTTAAACATCAGTCATTTTAACAACTGAGATTATACTTTTCAAATAATATTTACATATGCACACTCTGAAAATCTAAGAGCAAAAAGATATAGAAATTAAAAACAGAGACCCAATGTTTTATCATTTGGCTAAATAAGAAATTAAATGATAAATGTGGTTTCAGAGCCTTAAAATTTTTAACACAAGACTCAATGTCATCATGTCTAAATAACACAGCTCCAGCTGACTTCCTTTGACACTGTAATTAATATAATAGGAACAGCAGTACCCTTTTGCCTTACATGTACAAAAAACTTAGATTTTAAATTAATCAATTCCAAGCACTAAAGAAGATACTTTCCTAGAGTACATGTCATCATAATTCACAATTTTTAAAGCATTTGTGTAAATGTTTAATAACTAGATATAAGCTTTAAATGTTATACTCACTCTTTCATGATACTTTTGGTTCTTTTCTCTAAGTCTCTTTATTTGAGCCATAAACCGTTCTACTGCATTTTCCTTTATTTGACAGCTGATAATAAACAAAGATAAGATGTTTTACAATTATTTATCTTGGAAAATTAATGGGGCAAATTTAAAATTTTAAACTAAATTATTTGAATTGAAATAAAGTATTAGATACATTATAAAAACCCATTTAGGGATCAGAAAACTTTTTAAGTGATTTGTGTGTGTGTGTGTGTGTGTGTGTGTGTGTGTGTGTGTTTCTGAGTATATTTTCCTCACTAAAATATATATTGGAGAGATAACTTCAAGTTTCTTTTTCTTAAATCAATCCCCATTTGTACTTCATAATTTTTATACTTTCTAACTATCTATAAATAATTCAGCTTAAAGGGAACCTAAAGAAGGGCATACAGAAAACGTGCTTTCTAGAAATCTAAATATTTCAAACAAAAATGACAAAACAAAGGCTTTATAAGTGCAGGCACATCTTCTTGAAAGAGAAAGATATACTAGGCATATCTTTGGTTCAAGTTCCTTAGCACGCCATCTCTTCTATAAATAATAAAAACTTTCCTGACACAAACACATTTCTTTAATACCCAACAAGTATTTGTTGAGCATCTGTCAGATACAAAGGAGAGACAGAAAGGTGCAGGAAGACTTTGATGTGGGCTATGTGATAAATATTTGAAGTGCTAAGTATATCTCTACTACCCAGTACATCTTGTAACTTTAAATCTGAGACCAAAGTAACACAATGGAAACAACTTCATGTAAATACCTTGCCTCAATTAAAACAAAACAAAACAAAACAAAACAAAACAAAACAAATATATAGCACCTCTGTGGTGTAGTGAACAGAGACGCTTTTAAAGATTGAGCAACTCTTGTTTTCAATCTTGTCCCTGTCCCTTCTTACCTACATGATCTCAGGCAAGTCACTTCTCTGAGCATCAATTTCCAAGCTATCAGTGATCACAACAATACCTAGCCCTAATCCTATAAGGATTAAAATAAGAAATTGTATGTGAATGTTTCTAGCATAGAGTAAGTGCTTAGTAAATTTCATTGAAGTGAATCTTATATCCTCAGCCCTTCCTCCAAAATACCATTTATATTTGTGATATTGCATATTTGGTAGAGAGAAAAATAAGGCTCCTTCTTTCCCAATAATGAGAAAATGCAACATAAAAACAAAACAAGCAATCCATTTTAGTGGCAAAAGTACTCTGTTTGGATACTATGAAACTTGGATTTCAGGCCTGCTTCTCCACTAACTGCCCAAGGACTCTTCACTTAGTTAGGCCTTGCCTTACTCTTCTGTAGGTAAAAGAATTGAAGGGGATGAGCTCTATAGTTTTTCAGTTCAAAAATTATACAATTTAAATTGACCATTGTTCCCTTTCATTCATTCACAAATAACAAGATTTAATGAGCTGCTGCTTTGTGCCCAGTATTGTTTATGGCATTATGGAGATAGTGTTGAACAAGACCTCTGTGATTCTTGCCCTCAAGGAGCTTACATTTTATTAGACAATAAAGAAGTAAACACACAATCATATTATTTACCCATTGTTATGGGGGAAATAACAGGCTAAATGGAAGGGTGGTTTCCACACAATAATAATAAATAAGTCTATAGGTAGGTATAAACCATCTTTTTACTTCTCACCTAAAGCTTAGGTATGCAAAAATTTTGAAGGAGTGCCTTCTCTACCTCCCATTTTAAGGAGAAAAATAAAAAATATTATGAGAATTATTTGAAAAAAGGCTATGCAAATGTTCACACATTAGGCAATTTCTGCAATTACAAATATGGCAACCTAACTCTCAGTATGGGTGAAGCAGGCAAATGAATCTCAAATATGTAGTCTCCATTGGTTGAGAGAGTCTTTGGATGGTCTAGTTAATAGACTTACTAATGGCTTCAGCTGAGAGCCTTCCCTGCTGATGACTGAGTATACAAAGATGGGTCCAGAGACTACATCCTGCCCCAACCCCAGCTGCTGCATGGCACAAACTTACATTAAAAAAAATTATTTCATATTCATTTTAAATTCAAATTTAATTGCGCATCTGGTAATTTTATTTGCTATATCTGGCAACCTTACACTTCAGCCAACCACCCCTCTGCTCAGAGCAGTTAGGGGCAAATGACCTAGGGCTCTGTCTTTTGTTGCTTCTGCAGTGAGCTGTTCAGAAAGATCTAAATGGCACCGGCAGGCCTGGGGGAGATTCTGAGATGCCCAAAAGATTTGGGTGGCTTCATTGGCTCAATTGTGGCTCACATGGTAGTCATAGGTCTAAGCTGAGTCTTTCCTTGGAATTTACTTCAACCTCCTTAGGTCTCATGAAGATGAAACTGAACTTCAGAACTCAACACTCTTAGCCACTGTGGGAGTTCAAGCTTCACTCTTCTCTATATACTTTTTCCTTTTTATAACTTTCTCAGATGCCATAGTAGTCCACATGTCACACTAAATGCTGAAGCAAGTTGGATGATAAACTAATGAGATAATAGATATTAAAGCCGTTTGGAAAGGATACATATTATTCTGAAGCACAGTGATATGA